AAAACAAACAAAAAAATAAACTCATCTCTAATTTGAAATAGAAGACAACCCATAGCCCACAATACTCTCTTAAATTATGATTTAATGATTAAAATTAAAATTAATTCCCCTACCCAAACCCACCCCACGCAGATCAAGTCTCAAGTCTCAACTCTCTACCCCTCTCACGGCAGAGCTCTCTCAAGTCTCTCAACTCCCCCTCCCCCTCCCCCTCCCCCTCCCCCAACCTTTCATCTTTAAAAAAAAAAACTTTCAAGTTTTGTCTCTACAAAATTAAATACAAGGAGTAAGGATTTTTTTTTACTTTTTTAATTTTACCTTCTCAAATGAAAGCTCGTCGACCGTCGTGATTGTTTAATACCAGCGGATAAGCTCCGCTGACGCAAAGGTGTGTAGCAAGGTTATTATCAACCAACCAAGCAGCTTCTCAAAAGGAATATATTCCTTTGATTCAGTTTTTTTAATTTTTTTATTTTTATTTCATAATAACAGTAGATAACAGTAATAGCATCCCGTTATCGACGTTATTTACCGTTACCAGTTAGATTGTGGACGCGACCAATCGATTTTTGCATGAATCCACTACCTACTGTTATTTTTTTGGATTTCGGTTTCGAACAATGACGACGCTACAATAAAATAGTTGATGCTATTACGTTTTCGTCCCGCTATTTGAATCTTTGATATCAATTTCTAATTTTTAACGACTATAATAAATTCAATTTTCATAATTAAAAAAATATTGAATGGTTACAATTAAAATCTAATTTCAAGTTTATTTTCTCAACAAAATTGTTTTAGAAAAAAAAAACATTTTTCTATATCCTTTTTATATTATGAGACAAGACCCAGCCATTGATAGACTATGGTTGCAAAGAAATCAGAGCCCTCCATTAATGTTTTGTTCACATGGAAGCATGTGATTACAGCCAAGTACTACCAAAGTAGTATTTTGGACTTATTATGATTTTCAAAAATAAAATAAAGCCAATTCAATCTAATCATTTTAAGTCAACCAAACAGTCCTTCGGTCGATGGGACCATTATTATTTCTTAAGGCAGTGCACCAACTATATTTTTTTATTAGTTTCTAGTGAATATAATATTATTCATAAATTTTTAAATCATTTAATATTAAATATTCGTATTATTATAGTGGTATTCAAACTTAAAATATAAAAAATTAAAAACAATTATTTAACTACTTATGTCTCTTGATTTATGCTATTAATGACATTTTTTAAATTATTATAAAAATCATATATTAATATCATATTTATTTATTTTTGTACATTATAATTATATTTAAATTATTTTATATTTTAGAAAATTTTAACATATTAATAATTTATATTATATAAATTTTAATATATTAATATTAATTATATTTTATTTATTTTCATACTATTCTAAAACAATTTAGTGCATCCATGGTCACACTTGAGAAAATATGATATTATATTTATGTTATATTCATACATTTTTAAAGTTATAATCATATTTAAAATATTTTCTTGAATAATTTGACTTATTCTTTTAAAAGGAAACTAGTATAATTAAAATGATGAAATTATATAAAAACGGATATTAACACGTGTCTCATTAAAAAAATCTCAAACCTAAATGGCGGAAAAAGATGCAACGTGTTAATGTTGGATTCAACACAATTCAACAGAACAATCACACGCTTAACTAATGTGTTATATAGATTTTAATCATTATATTGTTTTCAAATAACTTTTATATCATATTGTATTTTATTTTTTTTAAAAATTATTAATCTCCTCTTTTACGAGTAATAATTCATTTTGTTTATTTTTGACATAATTATAGTTTATATATTACAAAAAGAAAAGTATAAAAAATATTTTTTAAGTAAACTGCAGTACTACACCCAATATCATTTAATTATGAGTTCGACGATAAATATATTATTTTAAAAAAATTACAAACAAGTCATTCAATTAAAATATTTTCACAAATAAATCATTTTGTCGTTAAAATTTAAACGAATGTCTATTGTAGCATAATATAGTAATATTTTTAATCCTTAAAATTTATATAGTTCATCAGTTTGTTCCTAACCAGATATAAATTAACAATTTTGATCTTTTATAGTAAAAAAATCATTATTAGTTTTTATTATTCACCTAAATTATTTGTTCTTCTCTCAAAAATATTATATTATATTAGATGTATTTTTTTTTCCCAAAATTGCATTCAATGTGCAAGTAGCATTCAACAATATATATATAATATTGGGTAAAGTTTCTTAATTATTGCAGAATAAAGATGGTGTGGCGTTCTGTTAAATTCTGAGTGGCATTCCCTTTTTCTTCATTTTTGTGTCACGTGACGCCATTACTTTTGCTCTGTAAATTCTCACAAATCTCTCTAAACATCAACTTCAACTCGTCATTTATTACACTTTTATTTCACTTTTACAGCTGTTTAAGTTTCAATTACCAATAAGATGTTTGAGATTGAATTCTATTTCATATTAAAAGTTTGAAATTCAATTTAAACTTATTAATTTATACTGGATTAAAAATAAAATAGACAATTAGAATTGAATCATTATTCTTAAAAAGAAAAGAAACGATGATTTTTTATAAAGAAATTACTAATTTTATTCAAAATATAAAATATCTTAAATTACACAGATTTACAATCATAATCTTTAATTAAACACATAGTTAGGATAATTTCCTATAATCATTGAAATAAAACTAGCAACCTAAAATCACATAAGGACTATACAAGGAAAAATTAAAATCTAACCAATAAAACTCGAACAAAAATAGATGCAAACAGAGATGATCACATCGGCAAACTAACCACAAAATGGGATCAAACTACTAAAAGACCACCGACAAACCGCAAATCAGACTCAAATGACATGAAAAATTATCCATGAAAGCATAACTGGTATTCAAATCCAATCTGAGGGTCCAAAGCAAGCAAAATCAACAATATAACTGATAAACGTCATCTTGATCAGTCGTAACGATGTCTAATCAATTCTTAGAAAACGATAAATGAAAACAACGACAAAAAAACGTACCAAAAGGCAGAGGAAAACGTGACATAAAGATAGAGAAAAATGTGCTATACAAACAAACTTATTGAAAATAAAAAATAACAGAAAATAAAATGATAATAAAAAGTATCAACGATCGATAATCGATATTAAAATTAGTATCGTCGTTGATCAACAAAGACAAAATGAAAAAGAAATGAACAACTTATCAATAAGAGAAATCTAAGAGAGAAAAAACTTTGCTATTACTAATTAAAAGAAACAATGATTGAATGAATTATTAAGAATGAAAAATTTGCATATATAATCTTCTTAAAAAGAGTAAAACCAACAACACTTTCTTGGACTTTGAAAAGCAATGCACTATGTTTGCTTCTAGTAACCTTAAACAGTTGACAGCACATAGATTATGAATTTTATTTATAACTTTTTTTCTACTTGTAATAATTCACTACCTCTATAAGTTGTAATTATTTGTCTGAGTACTATAAAAATAAGATAAATATATTAAATATACTTATAAATTTAAGGGTAAACTACACTTTTAGTACCTATATTATTAATTTTATTTCATTTTAATACCTAAACTTTCATTTGTTTCAAAATAATATCTAACGTTTATTTTTTGTCTCATTCTGTAACTCGTTAAAAACTTAATCAAACTGTTACAACATGACATTTTTTATGGGTAAATTATATCATTCACCACTCAACTATCTTCTCACTCCTATTTTGGTAATTGAGGTTTAACCTATTTTTTAAATTTAATTACTTAGCTTTCAAATTACTGATGATTTAATCACTCTAACTTTCAAATTTATTTTGTTATTTTAATTATATATTAATAAAATAATAATAATAAATGTAATGTCATAAAAATTATTAATAAAATAAATTAAAGTGATTAAAACATGAGCAATTTGAAAGTTGAGTAGTTAAATTGAAAATTTTTAAACTTTAGTAACCAAAATAGGAGTGAAAAGATAATTAAGTGATGAATAATGTAATTTACTTATAAAAAAATCATGTGCAACAATTCCGTTAAGTTTTTAAAGGCTGAGTACTAAAATGAAACAAAAAGTAAACGTCGAGTATGATTTTGAAACAATGAAAGTTTAAATACTCAAATGATAATTTAGTGATGAATAATATAATTTACTCATAAAAAAGTCATGTACAACAATTCTGTTAAGTTTTTAACGGCCAAATATTAAAATGAAACAAAAAGTAAAAGTCGAGTATGACTTTGAAACAAATAAAGTTTAGATACTTAAATGAAATAAAACTAATAGTTTAGGTACTGAACATGTAGTTTACCCTAGACAAAGCTTTTGTCTAATTATTTAGGATAAATTATACATTTTATACCTAAACTATTACTTTTATTCTGTTTTAGTATCTAAATTTTCTAAACTTTTGTTATGTTAAAAAATTAACAAAAATTTGAATATGATATTTTTAAATTTTTCAGTGATGACGTGATATTATCTTAGGGTGAATATCAATATCATCGTTAAGTATTTAAGGTAGGATACCAAATTGAAACATAAAATAAATGTTAGATATAATTTTGGAAAAAATAAAGTTTAGGTACTAAAACAGAATAGAAGTAATAATTTATATACTAAACTTGTAGTTTATCTAATTATTTATCTGTACCTCCCAGCAGGAACAGCAGCAGTAGACGGGAAAAAGAAGAGTAGAAACGTGAATCCAAGAAGCGAAGATAATAACAGTGGATTTTGTTTTGTCAGTTAAAAAATAACTTTTTTTTTACGGTTATAAAAGAGGAAGTGCAGTGAAGTGGAGTCTATCAACCCATACCTCGTCAGACCGTCTTTTTGGTTCCCATCTTCCCCCTTCTTCAACGCTGTTTCTTCTTTTATGCTGGCCAAAAAAACCATAGACAAAGACAGAGAAAGATAACATATTGTTTTTTATAGACATTGTTATGTTTGTTTAAAAAAATACGACCAAGAGAGAGAGGAACAAGCAACAGAAGTGTGTGTTTTCTGAACAAGTTTGAGGCTTTTGGTTTTTGGATGCCATTGTCGATCTTGGGTTCTTTCTGTTTTCATATTAAGGTAATCTTTGATATTTGGCAACATTGTTTAAAATCTTTGTTTTGTTTAATCTGTTTCTGATAATGTTTTTTTAATCAAATCTAAGATTTAATGATTAAACTAATTCCATTGCTTTGATTTAAGATTTGACAGTGAACTTTTGTCTGTTTCATTGTCAAACACCAAAATAGCTGTCAATTTCGCCATGAAAATGATATTTTTTTATATGTTTTTGGCTAATCATTTGCAATGTTTTGCAGTATTGTGAAGCTGAATTCGTTTCTGATTGATTTGGCAGACAAAATTTGAAGCCAAGTAAGTTCCTCAGATCTGAAAATTGTTTCTTTAGATCTGTAATGCCCTCGAGTATGTTCGGAAAATCCGTGGAAAATGAAGAGCTGAATAACATGAATGTGTTTATGCTGGAATTCGGACATATCTGTTAATGTGATGTTGCATGTTTTTCATATTCTTAGTTTCTCAAAGATTTGAAGTTTAATTTTCTGAGTTTTTCTTTGAAAATGTATGAGTTTGGTGTCTGAGACTAAAACGTCACTAATGCGGATAAAAAACTCGGTTTCGAATAAATTATAATGTCTTTGAATGATGCTTCTATGTTTTGTTGATGATAAATTTCATTCCTTTTGATCTCAGATTGGCTTCTCATACATAGATTGCATTTATGGGATTTAGCTAATTGATACCGGAGGTGTCATAAATATGGATCTCGGAGAAGACAGCGGTCGGTTCGGGTCGCTACCGACAACGATGTCTAGAACTATGTCCTCAATGTCGTCAGCATTCTTTTCTGCGAATCAATCACCTTTTTTTACTCCGAGATCATCGACATGTCAGTTGTCTGAGTCGACAAGGATTGATTTTCAATGTGGTAGTACTAACTTAAATGCCGATCCTACAAATTCGAATTCTGGAATTCCGGATCCCGAAGGCCTTGCCAACATTGGATTTCCGGTTTCGGATATGTCATTACCAGCGGCTGCTGATGTTTCGAGTGATTTCCTGCATTCCGATCACCTGTCATCCAGTTATGGCTATGAGCAGGACTATGGCTATTCTGGCACTATAGAGAAGCACAGAAAGCAGATAAGAAGCCAAGATATGTTGTTTTCCCCTGTTCCGAGATCGTTATCATCTCGCTGGCAGAGAAGTTACGATGTTTATATTGGTATGCATGGTCGAAAGCCTTCCTTATCGAGGTTTGCGAATTGGCTCCATGCTGAATTGGAAGTACAAGGGATGAGTTGCTTTGTATCCGATAGAGCAAGATATAGGAACTCCGGTAAGCAGAGACATATGGAGAGGGCAATGGATGTTTCTTCCTTTGGAGTTGTAATTCTAACTAGGAAGTCGTTCAGGAATCCGTATACTATCGAGGAGCTTAGATTTTTTTCGAGCAAGAAAAACTTGGTCCCCATATATTTTGATCTGAATCCGGGTGATTGTCTTGTCCGGGATATCGTCGAGAAAAGGGGAGAACTATGGGAAAAAAAGGGAGGCGAGTTATGGGGTTCGTATGGAGGATTGGAGAAGGAATGGAAGGAAGCCGTTCATGGCCTTGTTCGAGCCAATGAATGGAAACTGGAAGCTCAAGATGGTTATTGGAGAGACTCTATATTACGAGCTGTGATGCTGTTGGCAATGCGGTTAGGAAGGCGAAGTGTCGTAGATCGATTGACAAATTGGAGAGAAAAGGTAGACAAAGAGGAGTTCCCGTTTCCTCGAAACGAAAACTTCGTTGGCAGGAAGAAAGAACTGTCCGAGCTAGAATTTTTACTATTTGGCGATATTTCTGGAGAATCCGAAAGAGATTATTTTGAGCTCAAGGCTAGATCGAAGAGGAAGAATTTGACAATCGGGTGGAGTAAGGGCAGTTCATTAGACGAAAGGCGCAGGGGTAGCCAGAAGGGTAAAGAACCGGTCACCTGGAAGGAGTCGGAAAAGGAGATCGAGATGCAAAGCACCAACAGGCAGCACTGTCAAAGACACAGAGGTGGACGGAATGCACGAAGAAAGAGATCAGCGAAATTTGTATACGGAAAGGGCATTGCCTGTGTAACAGGGGACTCCGGAATAGGGAAAACCGAGCTTCTTCTGGAGTTTGCCTATAGATATCACCAGAGGTACAAGATGGTTCTATGGATAGGTGGGGAAAGCTGCTACATCAGGCAGAATTATCTAAACCTCTGGTCGTTTTTGGATGTCGATATCGGGGTTGAAAACTGCATAGACAAAAGGCGGTTGAAAAGCTTCGAAGAGCAAGAAGAGGCAGCCATTTCTCGAGTCCGGAAAGTGCTAATGAGAAACATACCTTTTCTGGTGGTGATTGATAATTTGGAGAGTGAAAAGGATTGGTGGGATCGGAAGCTTGTAATGGATCTTCTTCCTCGTTTCGGGGGAGAGACTCACATTCTAATATCAACTCGCCTTCCCCGTGTGATGAATTTAGAACCTTTGAAACTCTCGTACTTGTCGGGAGTAGAGGCGATGTCGTTAATGCAGGGAAGTATAAAAGATTACCCCATTGCAGAGATTGATGTACTTAGGGTCATTGAAGAGAAAGTTGGAAGGCTAACTTTGGGCCTAGCGATTGTAGGCGCAATCTTATCTGAGCTCCCTATAAATCCAAGCCGGCTACTGGATACCATCAACAGGATGCCGTCAATAGACTTTTCATGGAGTGGTAGGGAGGCTCATTCATTGAGGAAAAACATTTTCCTGCTGCAACTCTTCGAGGTATGTTTTTCGATATTTGATCATGCGGACGGGCCGAGGAGCTTAGCAACGAGAATGGCCCAGGTTTGTGGTTGGTTTGCCCCTGCTGCAGTTCCGGTTTCCCTGTTAGCCCTAGCTGCTCACAAGATACCTGAGAAACATAAAGGTGCCCGGTTTTGGCGAAAACTATTCCATTCCTTGACTTGCGGTTTTTCTTCGTATTACTCCAAGCGGTTCGAGTCCGAGGCATCATCCATGTTGTTAAGATTTAATATTGCCAGAAGTAGTACGAAGGAAGGTTATATCCATTTCAACGAACTCGTCAGGATTTATGCTCGGAAGAGAGGAGGTACCGGAGTTTCGCATGCAGTGGTTCAAGCTGTAGCTGGTCGTGCGTCGTTATCTCACCATTCAGAACATATATGGGCAGTATGTTTCTTGTTATTTGGATTTGATAATGATCCAACGGTTGTTGAGCTCAGGGTGTCTGAACTGTTATATGTTGTCAAAGAAGTGATTTTGCCTCTTGCTATCCAGACATTCATGGTATTCTCCCGGTGCAGTGCCGCTCTGGAACTCCTTCGACTATGCACCGATGCTTTGGAGGCAGCAGACCAGGCATTCGTTGCCCCAGTCGAGAAATGGTTGGACAAATCACTTTGTTGGCGGCCTATACGAACGAATGCACAATTGAATCCGAGTCTCTGGCAGGAGTTGGCATTATCAAGAGCAAACGTGCTAGAAACCAGGGCCAAGTTAATGCTGAGAGGGGGACAATTCGACATTGGAGACGACCTAATCCGGAAAGCCATTTTCATTCGAAACTCGATCTGTGGCGAGGATCATCCGGAAACGGTATCTGCACGTGAAACTCTGAGCAAACTCACCCGGCTTCAAGCAAATGTTCAAACTCATACTTCACCATAGAGTTCTACATTTCATGTTAGCAAAATTCACAGTAAGAATATAGAAAGTTTACTAATAAAATTCCTTTCCTGTAAACAAACAAATCATAGAAATATTTTACACAATTTTAACTTTGAATGAGATGCCCCACAGTTTTGAATGTAACTCCTTCCCATTTATCAATTGCCTTATATCATAATTTGATCAACAATTTATAGACCGAAGTCAAGAAAATCTTCAATTTAGACTTACGTTCAATGCAAAAGCTATGAATAAACTGCTTCGATATCGATACCGTGTCCCGCATAACAGAGTCCTTTTACAATAAGACACTTGTTATCATCTAAATATCTCTTATAAAATTATTTTTTTCTGCTCACAATATATTAAATAATAACCTTATTATTTTTTATCCTATAACTTTAAGAAAATCATTTTAATCTTTAAATCTTTTTATTTTTCGACCCTTGAAATTCTTACTTTGTTTTCATAAAAAGGTATTTATATTTATTTAACTAATATTTATAAATACATTATATAAAATAAGTCATAAGACGAATATAACTATATTTAAATGAATCTCAAATTTTATATAAATGATGAAATGCAAATAATTTTAATCTCACATATTAAAAAGTATTTTAAATTTTATACTTACAATAAACCACAAAACGAAAATAATTTTAAATTTACACCGCAACCTTCCAGTTCTATTGACATCCATTCCATACAAACAAGGATTCCGAAATCTACTTATATGAGTGTGCAACCTACAACTTCAGTAGACCACGTGTGAACACATTGACCTTAAGATTGCTTGCTAATATATTTGGGTGAACTGCAAGTTTAGTACCTAAACTTTTACTTTTGTTCCATTTTGATATCTATTTTTTTTTCAAAATCATACCTAACATTTATTTTATTTATGTTCTATTTTTTTACAACTGTTATAATAAGTTGAACTTGTTTGATTTGGTTGACATATTTTGTCCAATATTTATGCTATTGGTTATTGATTTTTTTCCATAAATTGAGCCTTAAATTAAAGGATTAGTTTTTATAACTGGTTGTTAGGGAATCCGTAGCGAGTAACGAAACTTAGAAAGATTGACCGAAATTTTAATAATCATGACGGACAAAAATTCTTTGAATAAAAATTATATGATAAGGTTTGTTTCAGTGTGTAATGAACATATCTCAACATTTGTGGTGGCAAAAATAAATCATGAAAAAGAAGTAGAGATTGAAGTGTTCACATGTAGGAAAATTCAAAAGATGTAAGAGGACAAAAATATTTAATAAATTTAATAAGTCATTGTAAAATCCGATCCAAAATAATTGATAAGTAAATCAGATATGGATGATTAAACCAAAATAAACTTTAATAGAATATTCAACAATGGTGCGTTTTTGATTAATTTGGGTAAAGAAAAGATGGCATTGAGGCAATGGCATTTACCATTAGGATATAAAAATAGGATATGAGAAGAATAAGGATGCATTACTTTTGACCCAAAATGAAAGTGATGCCTCACTCCACTACTAACCTACACATCTCATTCTTGCAATTTGAGAAGTTGTTTTAGTGAGGATCAATGTTTAATTTCAGAATCATGTGCACAAGCTTAATTCAAATCTTTGAATAATTTAAATATGGGATTTTATTTAATTGACCATCATGACATATATAAGTTTCTATAAAAAATAATTTAAAATTTAAATCTGAAAGTTATCATTCTTAATATTTTTAAGATAGGTATATAATATTTTTTTTCTTATTTTAATCGTCTGGTCCGCCATCATTATTAAAAGAATTCCGTCAGTCAGTCAAAATACAACATGTGATATGTTTATAAAATTTTTGAAATATTAATTTGGAAATATTTGAAGTTGTTTTTTAAAAAAATCTAATATTTAGGTAAATTTTCGAATAAAAAAATTAAACCCTTAAAATCTCCAATTTCAAACCTATGTTATCATCGCTAGTCGATGCCTTCGTCATTGAACGATCACCCCCTTAATCACCTACTCATCTACCATCATCCTTTCGTCATCTCAATTCCCTAAATCATTAAATACTAAGACCCAAATCTTGAACTAAATTTTAATGAATTTTTTATAATGATTTTGCACTGATGGATAAGGGTGTTCATTGTTAGATTTTAACTTAATTAAACAATCGAATCAAAATCTAGTTCGATTTATCAGATGTAATCATAAACCGATCGATTAATCGAACTAAATTTAATCAGTCTAAACTTTGAAAATTTTCTTAACTGTTAATTGATCTAACATCTAACAAATGACCTATTAACCGAACTAAATTTCAATTTGATTAATTAATTCAATTAAAACTTAACAATGAACACCCTAATCTGTCGGTGAAAAAATATTATCAAATAAGTCCTTCAAATTTAATTATAGAAGTTTAAATAATAATTCAACTGATACATCTTTTTTAACTTTATTAATTTTTAATCATGATTTTTTAAATAAAATTTTACTTATAAGCTTATTTATTTTCTTATTCGAGAGGAACAAATTTGTTATATAAGCCGATTTATTTAACTTCCCCATGCAAAGGAAGCTATGGTTCTGTAAATAAAGATGCTGAAATTGAGTTCACGCAATGTTGTTAAACTTTTAAAAAAACATAATGAGATTAAAAAGAATAATATTTATTGTAGCGTTGCTTTCAATACCATGGGAAACTTGGATACGAATATAAACTGAGTTATCAATTTAAACTTGGATACGAAAGAAAATTTTCAAAAAATATTAATCGGATATATTTTTAATATAAAATTTTATATATCCATAAAAGTAAAAATAAAAGAAAAAAATATCATGGGAACCTTTTGAGTCGGGTCTCGTGGTCATCCCTACTTATTATATACCACTCTCTTAATTCAGGTTTTTTTATTTACAATCGTCAAGATTCAAATATCAAATTTTACTTAAGAAATATAATATCTTGTCCCAACCCACTTTCATACGAAAGAAAAACTCCAAAGAATATTAATCGGACCTACCTCAAATAGCAATCAATCTAAAATTTATTTTAATTTTAATATAAAATTTTATTTATTTATAAAAGTACAAAATAAAAAGAAAATAATAATAATGAAAGTACGAAGAAATAAACATGTGTTACAATGGAAGAGTGTAAATTATAATTAAACGTTATTTAAATTAATTAGTAATTAACACTCTTATAATAATACCTTTTACTAAATTTATATAAATTCATTAATATATAAAAGTAATATTTTTAAATCTTTAATTTAAAAATTATTATTATATAAAAATCCGAAAATAATAATATGTATTATTATTGAGTCGCTATTAGATTTATGATACAAAATCCGTTAGAATTTAATATATAATATAGATAAGAAGAAAAATAAAATAAATAATTATTTTATAATATAAAATGTGAATTATTTTCATATATTTTCAGATTTAGCTTCCTTTTTTTTTTAAAAGAAGACTACTTAGGTTCAAACCCTTACTTTTGGGATTACCTGACGGAAGATATCAAATAAATATTTTTTAGTAATTTTTGTTTTAAAAAACTAGAATTTAATTATATTTTCTTTCTACAAATCGTAGGCGATGATTAATATATCTTCCATTTTTTATTGAAAATTCTAATGGATAGCTTATCCAAAATTTCCAAAGAGATTGATAATCTCAATCCTTTATCTGATTCCATCCTTGTCTATATAATGAGAGCAATAAGTTCCCCATGCTCTTAAAACACCAAACTTGTTCAAATACTGTTATTTGAAGCAAACCAGCAAAAGGAAAGCTCGCCAAAAATGGTGGTTGCAGGGCCAGGTTACGGCGGTGCTGGTGCTGGCGCTGCCATGCCAAACATGAAAAGCTTTGCTTTTCAGATCCTCAAAGGGCCATGGCTGATCTTTTTCGGGTCATTGTTGATCATGTCCGCCGCTGGTGCGACCTACATGTTCAGCCTCTACTCCACTGAGATCAAAGTATCCTTAGGATACGATCAAACAACCCTCAATTTACTCAGTTTCTTCAAGGATCTAGGTGCCAACGTCGGCGTCCTTTCCGGCCTGATAGCCGAAGTGACGCCGCCGTGGTTCGTGCTAACCGTCGGGGCGGTCCTCAACTTCTTCGGCTACTTCATGATGTGGTTGGCCGTGACCAAACGGATCGCTAGGCCTCAAGTGTGGCACATGTGTTTGTACATTTGCATAGGTGCCAATTCTCAATCGTTCGCCAACACCGGATCTCTCGTGACATGCGTCAAGAACTTCCCGAAGAGCCGAGGCGTCGTGTTGGGGGATCCTTAAAGGTTATGTTGGACTCAGCGGCGCGATCATCACTCAATTGTACAAAGCTTTTTATGGAGACGATTCGAAGGCCTTGATCTTGCTTATAGGTTGGCTTCCGGCACTCATTTCGCTCTGTTTCGTTGCTACGATTCGGGTACTGAAGGTAGCTCACCAGTCTAACGAGCTCAAAGCTTTCTATAAATTTCTTTACATTTCTCTTGGCCTTGCTGCTTTCTTGATGATTATCATCATCTTTGAGAAAAAATTTGCCTTCACAAGGCCTGAATATGGCGGCAGTGCCGCCATGGTTGTTTTCTTGCTCTTTTTGCCACTTGGTGTTGTGATTATAGAAGAATACAAGCTTTGGGAGGCCAAGAATAAGGCCTTGAATGACCCTTCACCCTTGAAAATTGTCACTGAGAAACCAAGTTCCGATGCTTCTGATTCATCGGTTTTATCCGAAACGAGTCGAGCAACAAAGATGGAGCCCATGTCTCCTGCTGGAAAACAGCCTTCAAGGCACCAAACAGAGGTGAAGACTACACAATTTTGCAGGCACTTTTCAGTCTAGACATGCTCATTCTTTTCTTAGCAACAATTTGTGGGGTAGGGAGTACCTTAACAGCCATTGACAATTTGGGACAAATTGGGGCCTCCCTAGGGTACCCTAAAACAAGCATAAGCACATTTGTATCCCTTGTGAGCATATGGAATTATCTTGGCAGAGTTGTAGCAGGTTTTGCCTCGGAAGTTTTGTTGACAAAGTACAAGTTTCCTAGGCCAATAATGCTCACCATAATCATGCTCATCTCTTGTGTTGGTCACCTTTTGATAGCTTTCGATGTCCCCGGAGGCCT